ACGACAGATGGGGTGTGCCATTATTGTAGGCGGGGAGGTGGGTTTTTTTTCTTATGGGTTCACGCAAACGACACATTTTTTATACTATATTTTTTTTTTTTTATTCGTTTTTCGTTCAACTATATTAGATAATACGGGTATCGCACTCGAGTAATACAGTTTTATTTATTCTTCTAAATCCAAACATTAAAATAAACTGCGAGTACCACGGATGACAATATTATAAAACGAGCGTTTGAAAAAATATTCAAAAGAGATTTATAAAAAGCCAAAAATAAATCGTTATAACACGTGCATATTAGCGGCGAAACAGCACCGCAAAGCTTAAAAAAAAAACAAAAAAAAAAAAACACTAAATATCTAAAATGCTCGGAATACACACAATAATTTATTACTATTATGCGTACGAGTACGTATTATAATATGTATACGTTAATAAACTGCAACTAGTTGATATTATTATTTGAACGTTTGAATGCGTGCGTACGTACGTATTATGAAAATCAAGGGGAAGCAAATAATTTTCGCATAAATAATCCATTATACTTTCACAACGCGGCGCGACGGTTGAATGTTTGCATTAATCAATCATATAAATTGTATTTTAGCGTTATTATATTTTGCGTGTACGAAGCCATATTTACACTGTCTGAGACGTTTTTATACGTATACCTTACCTACGTGTGTATATATATATAAACGTATTATACTTACTTAAAATATCACTGTTATTTTGAAAGGTCACGACACGTTCGTATACGCGAAACGGGAAAAAAAAGTACCGGTTATGTTTGCGAATAAAAATAACGAGCGATTTTTATTATTATTATTATTATTATTTTTTTTTTACTAAAAAATTCGTGTGACCAAACAACGACGTATAAACGTAAAAAAAAAAACTTACTTATTGATCGCTATTAGGTATCTGTATACGTAATTATAACAATATATTTTAGTTCGGTCCGCGCGTCGTGTTGTATTTCAGATACCCGAGCGATTATATACAACAGGCGCGTAATGATTAATAATATTACGTCGTATCTATTCTCGCGTCTTTTATAACCTGTTAAATAGTATATAATTAGGGTCCGAACGTCCTGAGAACCAACGAGAAATGCCCTGAAAAAATGACCGAGTTATGATAATAACCGCTATGCCAATGGAAAAACAGCAAAACGCGTAAAATAAAAGTTTCATTTTCGAAACATTATTTGTTACCCAAATCGAATTATATACTCGGGAATTGTTGTCATAGATCGACCCCCTCTCCCCCTCTCACCGTTAAAAAAAAAAAAAAATAATAATAAATATTCGGGCACTAATTACAATATTGCAGTCCCAGCGGCGAAACCCGCAGTGGATCACGCGATCAAATAACGCGACGGTGAATATATTGTCGCGTGACCTGCAATTTTACCGCCGTTTCGCGGCAAATTTAAAACTATCAAAGTATAGTTTTCGATTTTTAGAATAATAGAAATTTCACTGTGGCGGCACGTGTGTGTGCGTGCGGATTATTCCGCCACCGTCAGTTACCACATTAACGCCACCGCCAAATGACAGGTTAGGTTCAGGACAAACACTGTGTTTGAGGAGTTTTGAAAAATACACATCGGAGAAATATCTCACAGGAGTGGAAAACCGAACACTTTCGGAGATAATATTGACATATATATATATTATATTTCTGTAATATTGAGTGAATACGTGGATAACGATCGTAAACGAAAAATTCCGAATAGGAAAATCTTCCGAATAAAAAAAATATGTATTAATCGTCCCCGACGAGATGTATATAAATATAATATTTATTATTCATCTCTCTAAACGGTCGTAAATTTTTTTACGGGACCAATAAAACCTGACCTTAAAATTAAATTAAATGTTTTCTTTTTTCTTCTTTTTTTTTTTTTATCGAGTGGATATGGCAGTAGGTACTTATACGCGTTAAATTATTGATTTTGATTATCCTTAAAAAGGGAGAGAAAAAAAAAACAATAAAAATACTAAACATTTGGCGTTGGCAAATGTTATCGAGAAGTCAATCGACGTCCAATAACATAGTATATTTTATTTTCGGGAGGGGGCAAGCAGTGGCGTAACAGTAAATTTAAGCGTGGTAAAGATGTTGTATTCTATTTAACTTTATAATTTATTCGATTTTTTTTTTTATACAATATATTTATTTCAAATTGCAATATAATATCCCTCCCCCCATCCATTGGCTTAAAAAAACAACAAAATACGAGTATTTATATAGTCGGTAATTTGATGTTGACGTACGTGTGATGGTGTTTTGTTAAAAGGGCGTATACCATTAAAAATCGAAAAATACGTTTTTGGTATCAAAAATATCATAAAAATTAGGAGCATAAATTGGTAAAATTGGGCGTATTCAAATACAGAAAAATTAAGTTGGTAATGTCTACTTCCAGAGATATCCAGGCGCCCTTTAAAAGGACGTAGGTACCCCGCAAGCAATGCATGTATACTTTATGTACAAGGTCGATTACAAGGAGTAATTTTATTGTTTTCCACGGTAAACATCGTTAAAAACGGTTTTGCTGTTCAATTTGCAAAACCAAATTGTTTCGCTTTCTGAAAAAAAATAAAAAGTGTAATCTGATTAACGCCCATATAAGAAAATACCGTCGATATCTTTATTGTCGAAACACCACCTATCGTATCCGAAAATTATCGAAAATTAGTTTGGTAACTGGACACCGTGTAAAATACACGTGACATAAGGACAAACGTTCAAACATTATCGCGTGTATCTAACGTCAATATCCCGTTGTCGATACATCTCATCCTCCATCGGGTTACCGTTTTGCGTAATCGAAAAATACAGAATGCAACTTACTGTTGCGTATTGGCTAACCGTTCTATACCGTCATAATTCGAATTTAATTGTACAATTGGTTTGGAGGGGAAACAACACATTTTCGGAGATACGGTCGATACTGTCGCGACACAACGACGATGTTTCATCCGAGTCAAGTTTTCATACAATTAAGAAATTGTACGGTTTATAATCGTGACGGTTTTACGCGATATTTTCGGGCGGCGGTTCCCGTAAAACGCAAAACTGTAGAGATTTCACGCGGCCTGATGTCAACGTCTCGAACGCAAAATGCACAATTCGTCATTCTCGCCTGAAAATACGACCATGCGATTTCGGCGCCCCTTACAGCCGCGCCGTTTCCAGAAAAACCTTACCGGCGGCGCCTTAAATTTTTTTAAAGGTCCGGGTCAACGGATACGCCGCAACACGCCGGCCGGTACTCATGCGGTAATTATCACTGTTATCATTATCGTATACGCCGCCGGGCCGTAGGTACTGCGGCAATATCGTGCAGTACGGAAGGGGGTATTGCGCAAGACAGTCAAAACTCGTCCCGAAATCGAAAAAAAAAATTAAAATATACGCACCGGTATTATGATAATAATAATATTACGTAGGCAATAATAATAATAATAATAATAATAATAATAATATTATAAATAAAAAGGGCGCACGCCGTACCTCGATATAAAATCCAGGCCCGTATAATAACGTAGTCCGCGGCCGTTGGCAACGTCACCCGGTCACCTGTGCCAACGATTAGGCAAACCATCATTATCACACCTTGTTTATTTATTTTTTATTATTCTTTTTTTTTTTTTTTCGCCATAAAAATATAAATAATAACTCTCGCGAGTGTGTGCGCGCGCGCGTTAAATGCAATTCGCTCGCGTATACGTATATTCGCGGGTGCGTATGCGTACATTGTACACGTGTGTGTGTGTGCGTGTGTGTGTGTGTGTGTGCGTGTGTGCGTGTGTGCGTGTGTGCGTGTGTGCGTGTGTGCGTGTATACGTGTATACGTGTATGTGCGTATATACATTATAGACCGCGAGGACCTTGGAATCCTCGCGGCAACAAATCACCGCCGCCGCCGCCGCCGCCGCGCCGCTCAAGTCGTTTTGACATCGGCGAGAAATACTATCATATCTCCCCGCGGAATAATTATTATCGTCGTCGTCGTCGACTGCCGCTCGTGATGATAATAATACCGCGACACGCCGCTCGTGTGTGTGCGTGTGTGTGTGTGTGTGTGTGTGTGTGCGCGTGTGTGTGTGTGCGTGCGCGCGCGCGCAATTATAAACTACCGACGACGACGACGACGATAATAATACGTATACGTATGTTCCGCATATACGTCCCCCCGATTACCGCGGCCGCGCGGGACGGCCGTATATAATACGATTTACGGCTGCCGCGCCGGTAGATCAATTATTCAGGAGGGTGGGGGCGAACCGAGTTGTAGGGGACGAAGGGGTTCGGGTAAAACTATCGCGTACGATCGCCGCCGTAACCCGTCCGCGTTCATATTATCGCTTAATCGGCATTGACGTGCGTGGACCTCATAATAGGGGAGGGGGGGGGCGGGGCGAGGAAAACATTTTCTTTTGTCGACATCATCGCGTTAGCGGCCGCGCGGAAATATCTTCTAGGAGCGGAGGGGAACGAATGCGTTTCCCTCATCGATATATCATACCGTTTAATCGATCGTCAATGCCGTCTGTAACGGTACACTATAGTAAAAATGCATAGGTAACGGCCTATTATTATTAATACGAATATCGCAATTCGTTTTATACTTACATTATCGGTATTTAGAACCAGGATAAAACGCAAGAACGCCGAAAATTTACAAAAATAATGCTCATAATATTTTTTTCAATTCGTTAAAAACATTCGTAGAGACTTGGACATTAGGCAGACGTTTAATATTTGCCTTTTCTAGACACGATAAAATTTTCAAAACATTTTACCCATTTCAAGGCTTTTTAATATTTTGCCACTATCTCCGAATTGATTGCTCTGCTAAGAATCTTAAATAATATTATAACAATCTTAATAACTTCATCATATCAAATGACAAATACCACAAAATATATTATTACGTACAATTAAATATAACAAAGAAAATAAACAGTTATTAAAGTAATTGTATTTGCCGAAATTAAACAAACAAACTAAAAAATGTCATCAGATAAATTTATTTGCCTCGTGAGTCTTTTTGTTTACATATTCATACCTTAGTTGACGATAAAAATAAAAAAAAAATAAAAAAAATATCGCAGTGTCACTAACGTTTAATATTAATACGACTTGTTTGAGAATAAAAAAATTATGGTAAACTCTTGAAACGTTAATGTTTTCATGGAGTATTCCCATCACCATGACTTATTATTACTGACAATGTATGTTTCATAAAATATTGGAAAATTTTATGTCGGCCACAAATTCTATGCAGTCGTTTTTTGTAATTAGTTCTTATCGTTTTTTCGGAAACTGGTATCACTTTCCGATATTGTAACTGTACTGTTCTTTGACCCTTGCGAACTCCCGTCGCCGTGATTAACGGCCATTTGTTGGACGAGGTGCTTGGACGTTGTCTTGAGATCGTACACCCAGCCCAAACGGGCGAAAAAGTCCAGCCACATCGTAGTCGTGTTTATCCAATATCCGCCGAATTCGCTCGGTCTGTAATCCCATGGGAACGTGTGATGGTAGTTATGCCAGCCCTCGCCCATGGAAAATATTGACAAGATTAAATTTTGCGTCGGTCGAATGCGCCTGTGCCACGGAAAAAATTATTGTTGTAAATAGCTCTATAAAACAATGTGTCCTACGGAGGTATAGGTACCCACTGTATATCTCCGGAGATAATCAAAAAAAAAAAAATCAAAATTATTCTTTTTACCATAATACTCATAGGCATAACGAATACAAACATTTACATTTAAAATACATTTTTATGTTTTTGGAAAAAAAAATAACTTTATTGTTTTATTACTATTGACAAATTTAAAGAGGGCTATTTAATAGAGCCTATTATCAGTTTTGACATTTCATCGTTTTATTTTCAATAAATCCGCGATTTGTAATTTGTTTGTAATGACATTAAAAGAATAACAAATGTACAGTTAACATTAGCCATAATAATTGTAATTATTTTATATTAATTATTATTACGGTTACCTAAAATTATGCGGTAGGCTTTAATTGCATTTAATAATTGAATATGTTTTGTACTACTATGTGTAGTTAACTGTACATTTCTCTGGACTTCAAAAGGTTATTAAAAATCACGAATTTTTCGAAAATTTAAAAATTAAAAGTTATTAGTTATTACCAAAAAACATAATAATGCAATTCAAATATACACTTAATTATTATTAATAACAATAATAACATGTTAACATGTATAACATGTATAATAACAACATTAATTGCAACCCTTATGTCTGTGAGTAATACTTATGAAAATCAAACTTCGATTATCTTTATTATCTCAGAAAATATTGCAATGAACATTTCTTCGTGGAACAATATATCTGTATACTCTTTATCAGGGCTCGGGTTTTATAGCACTTATTACCACGGAAATAAGTGTTGACAAAAGCACTTAAATAATTCATTATAAGCAATTAAAAATATAAAAAGAGCACTACGGGAACTATGTACACATCTGTTTTTATGTTGTTATATTTTAATATTTACACATGAAAATATAAAAAAAAATTATCTTTATACAAATCAAAAACATTTAGCATTTTTGAGAACATTTTCGCTCCTTATAGCTCTTTTGAGAAATGAATTTAAAATTGTCTAAACGAAGCTCGGTGATTAGGACCTGAAACTTTTTCAACAATGTGCATTTTCATGACAACAACGATTGTTTAAAAAATATTAATAAATTAAAATAATAAAAACTTAATAATAACAAAAATAAATAAAACCGATTGCCAATGAAAACTTTATTTTTAACCTTTTTTAATTCAAAGAACCAATTTTTCCTCATTATCTCGAATATTAATGAAAATATCAGTGTATTCCGAGATTCACTTAGAGTCCAAAACAGAAATTATTCAAAATGTTTAGGTTTTTGTCAGTGTTACTTGTTAAGCAGAGATGTGCGAAAAATAAAAAATAATCGGAAAAACATAAAAAATCAATTTGTCTAAAAACAATCGAAAAATAGTTTTGAAAAACACTTTTAAAATCCCTTAAATGAGATCAATATACCACGACAAGAATTTCCATAGAACTCTGCTAGATTTCATGTTAAGCCAAAAAATTAAGGAAATGTTCGAAGTCCCGAACCCTACTCATTATTATACTACTATATTATAATAGGCTACATACTTGTCGTACGGCTTGGTTCCCCAAAAGTGCGCAAAACTATTTACGGACCACACGATATTCAAAGTATACACGTATCGCAAAAAACCGACCACGAATAAGGATTCGATAAAGTTTTCGTTCCATGCTAACACCGGTATCGCAATCGGCAAGATAAAACACAACAGTAACTTGAGCGGCGTAAAGTATCTATATACAAATTATGATAGACAAAATATTTTATTAAACATTTTTCAACTCTCGTTGGAAACGATTATCGATTAAGTAAATTTATAAAAGGGCAAAAATAATGAATAATATTATTCTTAATAAACAATAATCTCGTTCCGTATATTAGTAATTACGTTATGATTTACAGTTTGCCCAATATTGACCATCCTGCGTAATTTTAATGGTCTTCATTGCCTATTGTCAGTTGCGGTAATTACTCAAATAATAATTTGTATTACTTTGTGTGGAAACGTATCAAGGGATCGTTGGTGATGTCCGACATGTCGATGGTCTTTCCGCGTCTAGAAACCTCTGGGTGTTTCTGTTGCATCAGCCAACCGATGTGCGCGAAGAAAAAACCTCTGTTCACGTTGTGCGGGTCGGCATTTGTGTCAGAGAACTTATGATGCACCCGGTGATCGCGAACCCAATCAGGTACAGTGTTCTACATTAAGACAGCATAATACGATGAAACAATTTTTAACAATAAACCACACGGTCAAACAAACGAAATATTATCAAAAACCGAAATATGAAATAATACCTGTCCCGATACTGAATAACACGCGAGGAGTAAAATTTTCATAGGTAGTTTTGCTTTGAAAGATCTATGCGCGAAATACCTGTGTATGCCAGCAGTAAGTCCGAATCCTGCGATAGTGGCGACAAAATAAGCTGCGAAAATAATTATTTTCTATTAAAACGACAACGTATGTATAACCAAGGTTGGGCAGTTTCACAGATACATTACGTATCATTGATTCAATAATTGTATTTTGCAGTTTGCGTCTATATACTTTTTATCGTTGTATCGATAATGTGGTTACTTAGGATGGGAGGCATTAAGAATATATAATTCCCATTCTATCTCCTATATTCTTTCCCACCGGCCGATCCATTTAAGTGGGTACATTTATTTAAGTGTACCCATCTCGGAATTCATTAACTTTTTTCGGGATTTGTTTTTTAGAACATTTAAGAAACAATGCTAAATCTTTAAGATGCCACTGTACCATGTCACGAAATTGTTTGCACTAAAAGATACAAGATACCTAAACATTGTTTGATATGATTAAGAAAAAATTTAAATAATGCGAAAACCAAAGTAATTGTGCGTGTTAACTGTTTTAAACGTTTGAATATATGTTATTGGAATTAATTAATTATGTTTAATACCATACGTGCACTGTTATGTATTATATGAAACCCACTCACCATAAATTACCGTATGAAATTTCGTGGTGGGCAAATAAAATAAACCTCTGACGGCCAGACCGTGAAGGACCACAAGAAATATAACATTAAACCATAAAATTTTGGGCTTTAAGTACGGCGACTGAGATGATTCTTCTTCAGCCATAATGCTTTTCTCTCGTTTTCGGACCATGTCTTTCATCCGAATCGTTTGCTGTTGCTCGAATGTCGCATCGGTCTCGGTTTTGGTCTTTGTCTCTGTGACTGTTTCACCCATTATGACACTGGAAAATCAAAACCAAGGGGTAAAATAAAATTTACGCGGACTCTCAGTTTCTACATGTTCTTATTATTTTTAGGATACAGACGAAACAGATAAAAAAAATAGAACTCATACTGCGTACGGGTACGGCCACTGTTTTAGGTGAGAAATTGAGAGGATAGGATATATAAGGGTATTTCATTTATATCTGTGAACAACGAGAAACCAGTGCAGTTCAGGAATACATAATTTAAAGTACGGTAATTTTGTTTAACCTAACCTCCCTACTTTTTTTCCGATAATTATGAAAAGTTAATTGTAAATTAAAAAAACCACCTTTATCATTAAAAACAAGATTAATAATTAAACAAAAAAGGTCACTTGACGTTTTTCAATTTGAGCTATGTTTGAACTAGAAAACGTGTTACTTACGTAGTACTTTTTTTTAAAATAACGAAATCGTAATAAATCGTACTTTTTTCCCGTTAATCGTTTTTATTTTAAATACCTTTTCAAAAAACAATAAAAGACCTATGTATTTACCAAGTAGTTATAATTGGCTTTTAGAAAAGGTGTTATACTTATACATCGGAGCAAGTTTTCTAGGACAAAAGTGGTCTACAGTATAAAAAAAAAAAAAAATAAAAAAAAAAAGTACTGTTATAAGAAAATTAAAAAAAGGGAAAAAAGTCGTCCGATGGTTTTGAAAATTTTACCATGTATTAGTAAGTCTAAAATGAGTGTTATGACCAATTTTAAAATACCTTCGTGCATTTTAAAACAAATTACATCAAATAAATTCAAAGATGGCTTAAAGTTTTGACATGAATACCGTAACAAAGTGAACCAAAAAGGCAACAAAAAAGGTGTTTTGTGATTTTTCGATTAAATTATTTTTCTAGTAGAAACGTTTACTGTTATTCATGTTTTTATAAAATAATGAAATCGTGAAATTGGACGTTTTCTTACGTTTTTTCCCACTTAAGTTCTTTTATTTGACAAATGGCGTCGAAAATTAAAAAATTACCTGTTTAAAGTACAATTTAAAAAAATTGAGCTTATAGAAAAGGTGCTATTCTTATACATTTGAGCAAGTTTACTAGGAAAAAACGTGTCCACAGACGCGAACAAAAGAAAAAATAAATAAACAGCATTGTAAAAATAATAGTAAAACCGCTACTCTCGGAATCTGAAACAAGTTAAAAATTTGTTTAATGTATCAAAGATTGTAAATGTAAAATCATTTTAATATTTCATATTTGAAACATTTTTTATTGATAATGCTATATTCCAAATTTTGGTATTTTTTTTTCTAGGTAATATGCGTCAAAGGGTTGGATTGCATCGTCGGTCTAAACTTTAGAGTTGTGAGAATGTAGAGAATGTATGAAAAAACAACCAATTTCAATAGCTTTAATTATCAATTATTTTGTGTTTCTCATAAAATTTGTTAAACTAATATGCAAATATTACAAAATGGTTGTCACTTAGGGAGGTTATACATATGGGAAATTTGTTTTATACATTTAATCACAAGAAACATATTTCATAATCCATACACATAGAATACATTTATTTCATAAATATTTGTTTTGTCTACTTCCTTTTAATACAGCTCATGATAACATTTGATATAAATCTGGTGTAGTTAAGTTGAAGGAAGATGATAAATAAAAAAAATAAGACGATATTAACGATAGGTGCACCCTATTGAGATCTTATTAATTTTTAAAACGTAGTAAAAATGTGTGATTTAAATCAAAAATTATCTAGTCATTATATAAAAATAAATTCTAAAAATATTGAGATCGACCAAAGAATCATCTTAGATCTACTGGTCGATCGGGATCGACCGTTTGTCTACCCCTGGTGTAGGTGATGCAGACAAAAGTAAATTGCCTGAGCAGCCCGATGAAAATTTTTGTAGCGGTAGAAATAATATTGATAGGAACATAATATAATGTAATATATGTTATAATTATTTAATGCACGTTGTTTTTTTACTTGAAAATGGGCGTGGGAGCTTAAACCCTAGTTTGTGGTACTTCATTAGGTAATTTTTGTACGGGCATTTATCTAATACATTTATTTTAAACAAATTTCTTTAGATTCTTTTATTTATTTCAATTAATCGTCATTTGGAATATTAAAATGTATATTAAAAGTTACACGAATCTTTTTAGATATTTAAATTAGTTCAATCGATATTTGATTATAAACTATTTATGTATTTATTTATTTTTTTTTAAACTAATCCTCTATTGGGTTATTCAAATAATTTTAAACGTTTTATTAAAATCTCGAATCTTTATTAGTTTGATAGTCACTTATTTGGCCGCCACTTTGTAATAATTCTAAAAAATAGTGACGGTCAGGGTAGAAGTAATTCAAACAAGAATATAAATGTCTCTCATTAAGATATTACCTTTTCCCATAAGAGGAAATATTGTTGGGAGTCGTGAGTAGAGATCTAATAAAGGTTATCCGCCTATGAAACTAACCTAAAATCGTACCTACGGGGAACACTACTGTTCTTCTGAAGTTATCCCTAATTGATTACACAGATCTGATTGTTGTAAATTGTATAATTGCCTACCTGTCACCGGAGATTCACAGCAACGGGAATACAGATGAATTATAATTGATTCACTCCAATGAGGAAATTATCACACTTTTGTTTTATATACGTACACGAATACGGTGTAGAGATAGCTATACGCGAATGAAATTATTGTCAGTTTCCAGAATGCCACTGGCCTGTGTCTGTGAAAATAACGCACACGCCGAATAATTTTAGAAGACTCGTCAATTCGGAGCATCCGCTGTGCGTTATATAGGCCACGTTTCAGATGACTGCATTTCAATGACTGATAACGAATAAGGTATTATTCTGAAAGTAATTTAATATTAAATGATTTAATTGTAATTTACAATACCCGGATATTTAAATATATTATATTATTTGTAATTGAAGGGCGAGTGTTCATGATCTGTAAAATCTTAACACATACAGTATACAATTTTAAAATATGCGCGATAAAACGTCATTATTGACCTTAAAAGATATAAAAATATGCTCAAAAACGTCATATCTCTCCGGTTGAAAAATTTGGTTTTCCGAATTCAGAAACAATTTATCGCATTCGCACCACTAATGAACTTTTTTTTTTTTTAATTAAAAAAAAAAAAAAAAAAAATGATAAATATTTATAAAATACGAACACGTAATTACTCGCACGGAATACTAAACCAAAGCACCAGCTTTCGTCGTAAATCGGACTACGGACAACGATAAACTGTCACGGTAATTCAGAGTACCCATAAGTACCTATTAGCCATTGCCCATTAGGTATTTCCAATCGATAACATTTATTGATAAAGATAAAATTTCTATAATAGTAATTGAAATAGACAATAATTCAATGTTAAACATCAAGTAAAACCTAAAGATACCAGATATGCATTATTATGCTTTAATAAAATGTAAATATGATTTGAAAGAAAAATGGATCGAATTATGTAAATATACGCAACATAACAATTTTGCTTTCGTCTTCTAAAGGTCACAAAAAAAAAAAAAAAAAAAATGTCTATCTTACTCTGCTATTTTCATTATTAAAAGAAAAAAATATGCATATGCATGAACATCCGCCCTTACACGGTTATAAATTATAACCGTATAAAATAAATCATACAGTATACTAATTTTTAATCAATTTCGAAAAAAATATTATTAATAAGTAATAACATTGATGAAATACAATAACGCACCTAGATTGTGATCTCCCGACATATTTTTGTGAGTTTTATTTGTGAATACAATTAAATTTGTATTATTATTGTATTTGGTCATTTAATTATATTAGCCATTTTTTTTTTTTTTTGAGGGGGCTGCACTTATCATTTTTATATAAGTTACCATATTTTGTTGAATAGTAGAATATACAAAAATAACCAATGAACAAAAAAACGAGGGGGGGGGGGTTTACTCGTCCCCTCACAACGCCCTTCGCCTACCCCCAGACACTGGTGTTCACTATTCATAGGAGGTTATAGTTCTTGTTTCCAAAAAGTCTATAGCATAATATTTTGAAATTGACCCAATAATTTCTATAGTAATAAAATCAACTTCTCAACGATTGGGTAGGTAGTCTATACAGAAAAAAAAAATAGTAGTACTTAGATTAGATTTGGCACGGTCTTGGGTTCAATACCCGACTGTGGCAAGGCCCATGGAGGTGAAGAAAACGCAATTAAATGGCTGGAAAATGCTGGACATCCATCTATTTAACTCCCACTAACATAAAAATAAGTCATACAATTGCCCTATATATATACAGAGTGAACATTTTAGACGCGCGTTATGTTGTAGAGTAATAACTTTTTTTCAGAATTTTTTTTATAGAACATTTAAGAGACAAGCGGCTCTATAATTTTACAATTATTTTATTTTATGTCGCTCTTATTTTTGGGAGTAAAAACACTACCTACTTTTGATTTTTAAATGACAATCTATATTAAAAAAATCCACAAATGTATGGAGTATTAGTTAAAATAAATGTTCAACAAAAGTTAATACACTCCGAGATAATTAGTGTCTTGCGATAGCTTGATCGCCCTGTATTTACCGTATTTCCAATTTTACATTGTTGCGCCATTTTAGTCATTTTTTCATATGTTTATTTATTGCTAGATACTAACTTACACGTTACTTATATATTATAATAGTTACTTCGGTTGATTGTGTTAACTCACGCCGATGTCCTATATGCTAAAAACAATGATAATAATTATTCTAGAGAATATTCTAAAGATGGATTGGCGAAGCGCATTTGGGCCACTAATAAAACTGCAACCCGTTTGGACCAGGATTTAGTGAGCCCGTTAAACCAATACTTTTAAATTTCTTTAAAGGCTTGTTAAATAAACGTTCCGTTAAACTACGAAAACTGATTTTTAAATTAAGTTGTGGGTAAATTAAATTTTTTAGGTTTACACGTAATTTCTGTGTATTAATTTAGTTTTGCAAGATACCAAAAATCCAATTATATGAAATATTTATCTATATCTATTATCTTTATATACAATAGATATCTGTGTATCAAAATTGTATGTACGATAAGACAACACGGATAAAATACTACTGTATAAAAGCTCGCTAAATAAACGTTTCGGTTAAACTAATATAAGAAAAATTCTAGTCCAAACAGGCTGTATAAAAGTAGTATTTTTAACCCAAACGGTTCTTCAAAATTGGTCCAAACGGGTCCTGTCCCCGTGGCGTCACACAGTCAATCCTACCTCTTTTTAGACATTTTCCTATTATAATACATGCTCAAGGCGCAGTGTTTTATTTACAAATTACATTTTTTTTTAAACTTAAATCGGTTTTAACACTTCAGCAAAAATATCGATTTCTTGTGAAGTATTATTAAATGTCCAAGTCTTAACACCGATAATTAAACATTATGTTTTAAAATATAACGAAAAAAATATCTAGGTGTTCGGTGACTGAAGAATTCGAGGCGGAACGTTCTATGATAAAAAAAAAATAATAATATCTCAATCGTAATCTTATTTTATTTTTTATCCTTCTAATTCTAATAATTTTAATTGAAAAAAAAACACGATTTATTTATAAAATATCCGTAACTGATAAATATTGTTGTACAGGGCGTTACTGCAGTACTAAAAGAGAACCAAGTTGGTTTTTTTTTTTCATTTAATTTAAATCAAAAAAATTATACGATCCGGTTTTTTTGTTCGCTTCTGGTTTTGTATTTGTTTATTTATTACTTTGGCGGTTTTTTTTTCCGTTCTGTTACTCCCGAGTAATTTCTTATTTCAAACGCCTTTTTATCCACGTATATATTATTATTGTTAATAGATTTAACTCGTTTAGAGTTTTTTCGCTCTCTGCGGTTTACATAATAATAATATGCAGTTCGTTGCAGTTAGCGGATTACGCAATGGGGATAAAAAAAAAAAAACTCACCACTCAATTAAATATAATAATAACACACCCGATGTTTGAGCTCGCGAGCATTTCGTGTATACATAATAATTTAATATGCACTCGGTCTTGCACTAAACTCGCGCGCGTCTCTTTGCACACATACAAAAATACACACACACACACGCGCGAGAGTTAAAAATGAAAAATTACTGACGTACTCACTTACTTGAATTCTATATTGTATACAAGGTGTACCAAACCTCGATATTATTTTGTCGTTTTGCATTACATTCAAACGGATATAATAGGCGCGGTCGTAGATTAAAGGCAGAACAAAAAAAATGCACAGAAGCGATGTCCGGGAATATGTGTACAAACACTAGTACCCGAGTGTTTAATACGTATTTTTAGTCGCGGTCAATCAGGAGGAAATGAGGGGAATATATTATCTCCATGATATTTTCCCCTTTCAATATTTATAATAATTTACATATAATTATAGATACCTATGTATTTGTGTGAAAAAAAAAATGAAAATTGTAATAATTGTTTAAAAAGTGTTGAAAAATCATCCTCGTCCTCACCTACAACGAAATTATTTCACCGCAACCAGGCAGTGTCTTTCGTCCGGAAAAAAAAATACTTATATATAATAAACGCTTCGCGTAAATTATTGTTTTATCAGAGACGAATTGATAAAAACAATAAGAAACTAAGACAACACTATAGGGATAGACAAACGATAATGAAGTAGCCTTGGACAGAGAGAGACGGAAGGAAGTTCGCTCTGCAGCCATGGACCTCAATGGTTTCTAAAACTGATAGAAGAAGAAAACATTAAATACTTGTATGCATTATTTTTACTTTTGGTTAAAACGTACGAGTTACTATATCTACGTGTTATAGTGATTTTCACCGTTCGCGTTTACAGAATCCACCTTCCCGACAGCTGTACGATACATTCGTTCAACAATGTTAATATTCGCGTCCGTATCTATATAGATGGTTCCGGAGCAACTATACGTTATTTTTTTTTATCTTTTTCTAGATAAATTTTTACTAAACCGTATACGTTCGTGTACTCGTATAGGCGAATAAAAATTTCGATCGTTTCGAGATGATCGGTCCGAGATAAGACGGCTGTTTGCGGTCGATGCACGCGAGCGTAGAAAAAAAAAATGACAAAATATAAATAAATAAAAAAAAAAACTCGAAATATAAATAAATAAAAATAATAATAATAATAAAAAAAACTAGAAAAATAATATAATTTCAGCGGTTTTTGGCCGGTTTCGGCGGTTCCCCGGCCGTTGGAATTCCGGTCGATCCGTATAATAATACCCGTATAGATTTTTTTCCTATAAAAATGTCGTTTGGAATATTATAACCGGGATACGCGTGTCGTATAGAATTTCCCCCCCCCTCTTTATCATTTCTGCGTACATGTTTTTTTTTTTTTTTATTCCGTACGCCCATTTCATTCCAATTATCTCGACCGGTCAACTATATTAAATACACGCGTGATATTATTATACGACGTCGTTTTTTAATCGCGGTAACCGGTAATCGCGGAACTGTCTTCTCGGCGTCAGTCCCACGCCGCCGCCTCGCGCCGCTCATGCGAAACTTTAATCTACGGATAGGTCCTGTATAATATTAAAATATCCACTCGAATCCGGATTCGTGTTAATGTAATATTATTATTATTGGTAACTGGTATTGCAGCGTTTGCGAGATTCGCTGCGAGTGCACTCGCGTCCGACAGGGAAATATTGATAATATAATCGATCGGAAATCGCTATTGAAATCCCGCGGTCTAGGAACGTAACGGTTTCGGATTCGGCGTGTTTATCTATGAAAAAAAAACTATAATAATAATAATAAAATAAAATAAACACTATATTTTACGAGCGTGCGAGAGTGAATGCGATGATAATATTACGTGAATCTATGAACTCGTCTATACGTACGAGTTGTAGTATAGTATTTTATACGTTTGTATAATTTTTTTACTCTGGCGAAAAATCGATCATTGCGTAATCTGTCCTATATATTTTTATTTTATTTTTTTAACGGGTATTATTATTGTTCAGGATTTACAGATTTTTTTTTATATTCTGAGCGTTTTTTTTTTTTTTAACAATCACCCTCGAACGAATTAAATTATGATTTTTAAAAACCTATACGGATGCATTACCTCCTTGTATACCAATGTATCCGGGTATAGAGTATTTTATAGGGTTGGAGAAGTTCGTACAATACAACACTCTTCGCTTCTCTAATATTATCTTAACTTTAACGCTTGTCCTCTATTTGCAAACGAATTCCGCTAGTGTCGGAACAGTAAGCGAAATTTAAAGACGATCGGCAAAGAAATTGTCGGTAAAAATTATTAATTAAATGTCACTAAACTTATGAAACGAAAGAAATAACAATATATTAACCCGAGAAAAAGATTTATATTGAAAATAAAATTACGAATCCAGTCAGCCGTCTTAGCAGAACGTAATCGTATCTTACTCTGCTACAATGGCGTCCATTTCGAAAATTCAGAAGGACGGAGCGTTGTTTTTTTCAATAATATTTTCTCATCGCCAATGCTATTTTGATTTTTCAACTATGCCGTCAACGATCGATGGGAAACCACTTGTGAAAATAATCCGATCCTATAATATAATATATGATCATGAATTTTGCATTTATTCAATGTATCTAATATAAACTATACTTTATACGGTATAGCCAGGGGGGACATTTCTCGTCCTTGCTCCACCACCCCCCCCCCTCTCCCAATGGACGCCCGTGCTCTGCTATTTCGCGAACGTCCTTCTCTATCCTAGTGATTGACAATTATATACATGTATGTATATTTTTTTTTTTTTTTTTTTTTTTATGAAAGTCGATCCTCCGAGGAAAAACAATAACACATACTCAATGGATCGGTAAAAAAAAATGTCGGCCACTTCTGGTGCGCAAGGTGCGCGCGGGGCGCTCGTCGTCTGAAAATAATAATATTATTACGATTATGATAATGACACGGGATGCGATTATATCGTCGTCGGCCCCGGCGCCAGTCTGAATCCTAATTATTGTAATGTGCCCGTGTTTGTTAATGCGCGCGTACGAATACATTAACCAGACAATGGGGCACACTTATAAACAAGGGTAGTCGTTGACTCCGGGCGTGCTCGGCCCGTGCTACGTCACGTGTTGCCGTTGCACGCGGATCAGAATTATCGCGATTCGTCGACCGTCGCCGAAAAGTCCGCCGGTCCGAGACCCGAATACGCCGGGCCCGGATTGCGGGGCGGGGGCCACGTCCGCGGGGCCCGAAAAGACCGTGGTGCGACGGCCGAACGAAACATTTGAGAAACTATTTTCGCGTTTTTCGCATTCAACACGGACGGCTACGGCGGATTCTGCGCGTAACGGACCGCGAGCGGGTATACAACGCTCGTACCGTACATAAAGAAAAAAAAAAAATAAAAATATAACGAACATACAATAATGTGCAACGGCGGCGAAAAAAAAAGTACGTTAAAATTTGCATAATATTATCCGGAGGAACGGGTTGAAAGGAAAAAAGAAACGGTTTTTTTTTTTGTCGTGTCGCGTTGTAACCACACGTATTATTGGGCGCACACACGCGCAGGTCGGGTAGGCGAATCGCGTCTTCTTCATCCGGAACAACGGCGGCAAAGGACCGGCGAATATCGGGGATCAATAGAGAGGAACGCACATACGCACGCAACATCATATAATGTGAAAAGATTATGAAAATTAACGGCCAAGACCGGGACGAGACGCATAATAATATGCATATAGGTACCCCTCTCGTTCGGGATATTCGGCTGCTGCTGCTGCTGTACAGTGCCGGATCTCGTTTTTCATCTCCGCGCCCGTCTGTATATGTGTGTGTGTGTGTGTGTGTGTACACGCATGTAAAAATTATTATACACATTATAATACTATATTATTATACCTGTATTTACGCCGGTTTCCTCTCTATTTCGCCACCCCCCCTCCCCTCGCGCTTTCTCGCCCCGTCTTGTATTCTTTTCCACGGCGGCGGCGGCGGCGGCGGCGGCGACGGCGACTATTTATTATCGTCACTGTGTACTGCGCCGCGCCGTTGTTATTGTTACCTGGGAAAAAAAATCGTCGGTAAAAAGGGTTATATAGGTAGGCCCCTTTGCATAAAATTTGAATGGCAACTTAGTAATACGCGCGTAGTTTTATTATTTATTTATTTTTTTTTTTTTTTTTTTTTTTTTTAAAGCGTTCGTTTGCATATACACCGGGCGGCACACATACGACGAGGGTGCGCGCGGCGGAGATCTACCTGTTATACGTCGCGGTCCCCCCCCCCGGTCCGCCCAGCTACCGCCGCCCGTAGCCGCCGCTAGAGAGACCATGAGAAAAAAAGGGTTCATTTGAATTTTACTTTCCGGAGGATGAGACCGGGCCGCGGCGGATTTCGTAAAAACCGAAGGGGGCGCGAACGATTGTGTGCGCGCGTTATTTAAAATAGGTGTCTTCGCGCGTCTGGTACCTACCACGCCGCGCGCCTGTACGCACACGTTATAAATACTATGCGCGCATACGCGTACAATATAATAATAATACAAAATGATATATCATCTGCATATGCGCGCGGGACGTACCCTTTTTTGCATACGTGTACGCGCCGAAAGATCACCGCGTTATATACGTTTACACGGGTACGCGCTCGCACAACCCTTTCCATTGATACGGTATTGAATATTACAGATACCGGAGGACCCGTCGTCCTCGTCGTTATTATACATATATTATTATTATTATTATTATATGCAGATCGATAGGTTCCCACGGGCCGCCGGAGATGTTTCGCATGCGGTCCCCGCGTGCGCACCTATGCACGCGGATGTGCGGCGACGGATGCGCCCGGATCGGTCGGCGGGCCGCAACGGTAACGATAATATCGTAATGATCGGAGGACGAGCGGTTTCCGGACCGATTGGCAATACCGGTAAAAACCGGTAAAACGAATTCGCAAACGGTTTTTTTTTTTTTCCTTTCGTTACTTTTCCGCGCCCGCCCGCCCTGCGATCATCACCGCGTCGAAGTACCGGCCGTTTTCACCCTGTACCCGCCGCGGGCGAGGCCACCCGGATCGTTTAGCGGAACGGACGGGGCCACGGCGGTTTTTATTCGGTTCGTACGCTACGCGTCTAACGTCTTTTTACTACGCGGACATAAAACCGTTCTCCGGAGCGAGAAACGTATCGCGGGAGTTTGTTATATATATATATACATTTTTTTTATACCGCGAAAAACTTTTCTACCGGAAATCTTGCTCCGGTGTATCGGGTGTAGCGCCGTTCACATAATAATCGGGGGAAAAAACCGAAAAATCTACGCACGTATGTATAAAAGAAACGTGGCTCCGAATCGTTTTCCGTTAGCAATGGTTTATCGTTGCGTACAGAATGAAACTAAATTCCCCTCCATATCCTGTACCATCTCGACTCCTCGCCTACAACAGTGGCCCACCCATCGTGCGCAGTATGTCCGTCCTTTGTTTTATGGTTTTCGGTTAAAATGAGATATTATCACGAGTTTATGAATACTTTATAACGCATTCCTATCACGGGGTACCCGACCTTGTTTGTTGAGGGTTAAAATAACGTGTCCGTCGCGGTGCCCATCGGGCGCCTATAAAAACACAGAATCTGAAAACCTGCACTTTCGAATGTAGTCGGTAGAACATTCGGAATTCCGAAAGTTCGAATCCGTACAATTATGGACAAATTTCCCTACCCGAAAAATGCGCGCCGAACAATTTTTAGGCGTAAATCGTAAATAGCATCCGTTTCGCGTCGTGAAAACGTCCGATTTCGACAATTTTTATTTGCTATCGAAAAACTACACTGTCGTTATAAATATTACGTTTTTCGGGGGAGTTTTTTTTTCTTACACGAAAGTTCGAAAAGTCCATGACGGCCAACGCGTTCGTATTGCGGTGCTGGGGCAACGTCTACCTAATAGCGTCGTTTATTTTTGCGCCAAGACTCGCCGGGTTCGATTGCCCGCGTGTAACGCGACGCGGAGGAGCGGCAAGAACAGCGGCATATAAAAAAAAAAAAGCGTGGGATCCCTACTTTTCGGCTATCGGCCGGTCTGGACAATCGGTCGCGCGTCTGTCGGACCCCCCAACGCGTCCACCCCGGGTAAAGGGAGCGGCGGCGGTCCGGCTTATCCGCGGTCGCCATCTCAATTCCGATCTCGTAAGCATTGTTTTTTTTTTTTATTTTTTTTTCTCTCACCGAAAAACAATCGACTCGTACACCGGCGACGGCCGCCCGAGCACGGGTCCCGGCATCGCGGCACGCGGTATCGCCCGCGTATCGGCGGGTACGCGTTATTTTCTCCGGTTTGTTTTCCGGACGATAAATACGACCCGCGGACCCGAATGTCAACCCGTAATTATATTACACGGCCATTTAGGTTTTCCGGCACGTTCGGGGCGCGCTTATAAGTTATAGACCGGCGCACGGTGTTTTTACACACGGAACACTCGTAAAACGCCGAGTTACGGCGGAGCGAGCGCGAGAGAGCGTGCAGCCCGGTGACGGAGAAACAGGGAGAGTGGGACAGCTGTAAATTACTGTCGGACGCGCGCCGGCCGGTCTTGTCGATTAATTAATTATCGAGATTAACGTCGCCGCCGCCGCCGCCGCCGCCGCCGCCGCCGTTTAAGTCGATTTTTCTTCATAAACCCCGGGTGTAGTACACGTATACCTACCGCGCGCCGCCGACCGCATTTTATTATTTCATTCGGCCGCGTTCCGCGCGCGCGTGTCCACGACGAAATACCGGCCACACGCGCGCGCGATGACCGACGAGCGTTAAGTAAAAATGATTGTCGCGCTTAAAAACCGACAAACATACCTGTGGTACGCCTACGATCTCTGTCTCCTTCATACACTGTCCCTCTCGCAACACAAACCCGCCCCGGACCGGCCGTTTCTGTCGTTTTCGGCACGGTAAATTACAACGCGGACCGGAGTCGTCGGTTTTTCGCGATTCGTTTCACGTTCGAACGTTCCGGCGCGGCGGTCTTCTCCAACGCTTGTCCGTGTAACGGCATTTGCCTCTGAAATCGATTTCAACAGACGTCCGCGCGCCCGGTTACAATACGACGGCCCGTCCGTTCGTCTCGTCCTCTTGTCGGACTATTCTCTCGGTCCGGCTTATCGGCCGTTGCGATCGTCCGCGTAAAAAAATAACAACCGAATAATTGGAGGCAAGCCGACGCTCGACGCCGTTGCTACCGATACACAACCAGGCGTACCGGATCCGACGTTTGAAATCGATTATCGTGAGTAGGTATTGCAAATCACTATCGGTAATAACCCGTTTTCTAACGCTTTTTTTTTTCTTCTTATTCCGGAGATATTATTGGCATTTATTTCCCCTGAAAACATTGGATCGAAAACCGGTTTCGAAAACCCGATATCCGATATTTTGACAGATTCGGCGTCCGTCTATACCGATACTCACCGATAAATTTTATTCTTACGAAAAAAAAAAACGCGCGGTTTTTCTTTTTAATTTTGAATAAATGTCGTTTATAAGCGGTTACAAAACCAGACGTATGCGCAGCAGTCTCGGCCCCACTTCCAGGTCCTGATTTACGCGTGTGCGCGTGGTGCACAAACACGGGGCCCGCATATTCCGGAGACCTCTTCCCGATCTATAAAAAAAAATATTGTACACTTTTATATTTCATACTAAAAAATACCATACAATTTATAGTACACTTTATTATTTTCGGTAGATTGACTATTGATAAATGTTTAACAAGTAGGTAATTATTATGTAGCAGAATTTCAACATATTTAATTTAACTGCATTATATTATATTATTTATTTATTATGCATCTATTTTATTTTGCACTTGTACGTATAAAAACTCGAATACGTTTTTCTTTAACCGAAAGAAAACCGAATAAACTCTTTATCGTAACCGGCAATCAATCATTTGAAAACATTAATGCTAAATTTGCAGAAAAATAGAATTGCAAGAAAAAAATGTTTGTAGAAAATTACTTTTGAAAAAATGGTAGTGATTTATGGATACGAATCACGGTATTCGATACGTCCGAAAAAAACGTTATTTTTTCCTTTTACGTTTTTACCGATTTCTTTTTTAATTCGAATAGGGCACCGGCGTAAGTGTATAGCGCGCGGGGCCTCTGTTTCTATAAACCAGGCCCTGTCCACTGTCTCTCTCCAGCCCCTCGGTCCGGGTCCACGGCGGAAGGCTCGGCTCCGGTTTTCGGTATCGCTCGGCCTTTTGCGCCGTCGCCGTGGACGGGAAATCGCGCGCTTTTCCGAGAGGACTAGGTTTTTATTATTGCCCGGCGTTTTTTCGCGTGTTTCTCTCTCTCTCGCACTCTCTCTCTCGCTCTCTCTCTCTCTCTCGTTCCGTCTCTCGCTCCGTCTCTCACTCCGACGTGCGCTCGCGTACGTGTAGGCGTGTGTATAGGTGTGTGCGTGCGTGCCGCACAGTCCGCGTACACGGTCGCCGAGCTCACGTCACGTCTGCCGGCGTAGTTTTTACGGGCGCGCCGAGCACGATTTCGGCTTTCCCGCCAGGACTTATGTACGTATATATCTATGTACACGCGTAGCCGGCGAGGTAAACCTCCCCAGCCTCCGGCCGCCCCTCCCGCGACCCGCAGCGTACGGCGTTCGTATTTTTGTATCCTCGTCACGTGCCCCGCGTCAGCCCTCCGGTTCTCGCCCGCTCGTACTTTGCACTTTCTCCTTCTTAATCCTATACTCTCTCTCTCTCTCTCTCACTCTTTCTCTCACTCTCTCTCCTCGCTCCGCTACCCTCTCCGCCACTTGTATAATACGACGCCGCCCCCGACGCCGCCGCCGCCGTCTCCCCGACGACCGCCACGTCCGCAATCACGAATCCCTTCCCCCCCCCCCCCNCCGGTACCCGGGCCCGACCGCCCCCCGTCACACCTCACCGCCCCTCGCCCGCGGCCCGCGTTCAACGTCGGATCAACCGCGTCTCGTCGTCAACGTCGCTGTACACGACAAAGGTTCGACGCGACGGGTCCCGCCGCTAATGGAACCGATTCGGTCGGCGAACACCGTCGCCCGCCGTACACGACCGCGGACAAACGACGCGAAAATCGGAACATTTCGGGCGTGCGAAACCGAAAACGGCGCGGAGGGCGAGAATGAAACGTTTTCCGGTAACGCAGACGGAAGAGAAAAAAAAAAAAATGTCCAGAGACGTATTTGAGCGTAAAATAATATTACTCGACCACGCCGCAATATTACAACGGGCCGCGTACGCCTTCGTCTTTGTCGTCGTCACGACGCCGCCGAGACGATTCGCAGGCGGGAAACGTCGACAATTCACTTGCGTCGTACCCTGTCGTATTGTACGCACGTTCGGGGTCACCCGGGTGCCTGAAACTCTGACCGCCGGATTATCGAAAAAAATTATCAAATTTAAAATTACAATAATTATTACATTACGGGTATTGCGATAATAAATAAAATTAATATCAAACAAAAAATAAAACAATCAGTGGCGTTATTGTGCATTTTTTTTTTTTTTTTTTAAGAGTACGCTGAAAAGCGCGACCATCACTTTATTCGTAAATGACCTAAATTTGTACCTGTGACAATGATCCTACCTCCCCACTCCCGTAATTGCTACGTAATTATATTATGCTTTATGTTTATTAAAACGTTTACTATCACAAACACGATAATATTATGATCGGGCGGTAGTAAACATCACCTGTTTACAGTTTACGAATGAATTATTCAGGGAACTAAATATTATAATGTTATTCAACAATTAATTTCTGTTTTAAAAAACTGAAAGGGCCATCCCGGCATCCCCCAGTCGGTCCTATGCCTCACAAGGGGTATTTCGTATCTTTTATTAATGCTGTTTATACTGCTTTCCGCTAAACAGACGTTAATTATTTAAAAATTAAATTACTAAAAATCATTATTTATTCAAACGCTCTGCGTAGCAAAAAAAAAAAAAAATATTGTAAATCGTATGCAAATTATGAATATTTTAGTTGAAATTACCGAAATAAATATAATTTGTATTACTATTACAGTTTTAGCGGGTGTAATATCCTATATTATAGTATATACTATAGACCAGCGATTCTGAAACTGTAGTCCACGGCCCCCGGAGGGTCCGCGACGTATTCAAGTCGGGGGTCCGCGGTGGCTCTATCGGTAAATATTGATTATGATAACATGAGATATTTTATAAAAAAAAAAAAGAAAAAAGGTATTGGTGAGGGGTCCGCGCGGTTTCTGAAAGTCTTTCATCATGGGTCCGTGTGCACCAAAAGTTTAAGAACCGCTGACCCAGTGGCGGCGCCAGGAGTGGGCCACCCAGTATGATTACGGAAGTACTTCCGTTTTACATTATACATCATATTTTTAAATAAATATAGAGATAAATGTAGAGATCATAATTATATTTTAGATTTTGAGTGTAGCGAAGAATGTATAGGTCTTACAAAGATGTTTAGATGTTTTTTTTTCTTGAATGAATACTTTTTCTACAAGAAAGATTACTCCGATGTAGACCTTTTTCTGAAAAGAAATTTTTTGGTACTTCAGCGAGGTCATTTTTCGGTTTTCTCGGGAGTTTTCCCAAAAAAAAAAAATGGAATGAACCCGGGCAATAACGCGGGAAAACCGGGAAAAACAGGAAAATCGGTTTAACAATTATTATTAAAGAAACTGTATAATGCCTGTTGAATTATTTTACCATAATAATCTCCATGGATGGATACACAGGTATCGAGAAAATTGTCGGCCCACCCGATGTAAAATTTCTGGCGCTCACATCTGTAGACTATATAGAGTATAATACGCGATACGAAGGTATCGGTAAAAAACGAAAAAAAAGACACACAAGATCGGACAATATCATCGTCCGTATTGTCGTATCCTGTATCGTAGGGCGTGTTCTACGGGTACCGGAGACCACAACGCTATCGTCGATAGAGTATTCTTCCTTTTTTTTTTATTTTTTTTTCTACCACGATAATGTCCCGTTACACGTTCTCGTCCGAAACAGAGATAACGTACGCGTTACCACAATAGCGTGTAGGCCACAGGGTGGCCGTGATTCGGGTACTGTATCGTACACACGTAACACGCCGGCAACGTCACGGCGGCGGTTCGCGGCGATATATTGATAATAATTAGGTTGGTTTTATTTTTTTTTTTTTATAACGCGTTAAACAATAATATATTAATACACCTATATACGTATCGCGTGTGTGTTTACACGCGAATTAACATAAAACCTTGTAATTGTATTCTGATCCGACTTGTATATTATTTTATGTACACAAGCCCGGCACTGCCTTCGCGCGTCTATTATACGCGCGCGCGCTCGCTAATACACGTAATTACGGCGCACACGTGTTATTACATTTCGAACGGCTATTTATTTTTTTTTTTTCATTTATTATTATCGGAGATTGTTTTTTTTTTTTTTTTTTTTCCCCCCCCCCCCCCCCCCTATCCGATACGCACGCGAGCATAAATATCGCGCCCGGACGTACGGTCGTGTACAATATGTATATGTAACGTGTATTTATTATTATTATTTTTTATTTTTTTCAATCGGCAATATTATGTATTCGTATACACCACGCCGCAGTGCAGCGTACGCGCGATAACCGTCCTCGAAAATATTTTAACGAAGAAGTTCCCGGAGAGAATATCGGCGCCGCCGCCGTATAAAAAAAAAAAAAAACCGCGAAAACACAAAAAAAAAAAAACCGCGCCGGCGGACCGACGCGGAATGTGAACGCGAACGGCGGCGCGTAGGCCGCGGTGGCGATTCGCCAGATGACGCGGACGCCGCTTCCTCGTCACTCGTCGATTCTCTTATTACGGCCATCGTCGTTGTGTAACGTAACACACGGGCAGCACGCTTCGGGTACACGGTTGCGACAAATGCCATTGAGCGCGTGTCATTGAACGATTCGAAATCGGTTTCGCGTTGGATTTCGAAAGAAAAAAAAAAAACACAATAAAACCGAGTACATTTATTCAATTTCCGAAATAATCGGAGAGCCTCGTGTTGCCGACCCCGCCGGCCGCCGCCGTACTACTGTCGATACACCCGCAGGGTGTCCCGCCAAGACGTACTCATCGCATTATCTCCCGATATAGTTAAAGATAATCAAATTGCGGTTTTTTTTTTTTTTTTTTTTTTTTATGTATATACATATTTTATTCGCGAGCACGAGGGCTCTGGGCTACGAATATTTATGTTCGAATCGAATGTCCGCGTTTCGGTAAACGTTTTCGTTTCATTATCGTCGAATAATTTTAAGAAATTTCAAAAATCTTTCGAAATTT